ATTAAATCTGTAGACATTTGGGTAATATAGACATTTTAACAATGTTGATTCTTCACAACCAGGAGCATGGTATGTTCTTCCATTTGTTAACATCTTCAGCTATTTCTTTTCTCAGAGTTTCATAATTCTCCTTATAGAGAACTTTCACATCCTTTGTTTGATAAATTCCCAGATATTTCATCTTCTTTGGCACTACTGTAAAAGGAATAGAGTCCCTGACTCTATTTTCAGCTTGACTATTGTTGTTATATACAAAAGCTACTGATTTGTAAGTATTGATCTTGTATCCTGAGACGCTGCTGTATTCCTTGATCACTTCTAAGAGTTTTGTAGTTCAGTTCCTGGGGTTTTCCAGGTATAAGATCATATTATCAACAAAGAGTGAGAGTTTACCTGGCTGGAGCTGGAACATATTCTTCTTAGTAAAGTATCTTGAGAATGGGGAAAAAAGTATCCAATGTATTCAATACTACTATGAAATGAGTATATAGTCATCTACACATTCATAGGAATGGCAAAATGTAACTATAGTCCAGAAAGAAGGAGGGAGGAGAAAAGAGGAGAGGAGGGAGGCTGGGAGAGTTTTGGGGGATCCAACCTAATGTGCATAATGCAATGATACATTTTTATACGATTAAGAATAGAATATGAATGTTTTTTCCACAAGAAATAAATAACCAAGGAGATGGTTATGCTAATCAGTTAGATGTAAGCATTCCACACTGTATATCAAATCAGCACATTATACTCTATAAATGCATTAATGTATAGTTATGATTTAATAAAGAAATAAAAAAATTGAGGTGGACAGAACTGCTTCACTCTAAAATTTAAATGAAGAATTGATTCTGTCAGAAATAACTTTAGTAAATAAAGAAATTAATAGTAAAAGTTAAAAAATACATAATATTAAAAAAACCATGAACAAAAGAACCCATAAAACAAAACCAGAAAATAAAAATTAACAAATTTTTATTTGTTAATAAAATATTAAACTGAATATCCATTAGACTCCCATCTCATCCTATACAAAAATCAACTCAAAATGGATCAAAGTCCTAAATGTAAGACCTGAAAATGATAAAACTACTAGAAGGAAACAGGGAAACACATCAGGACATTGGTCTGGGGAAAGATTTTATGAATAAGATCTCAAAAGCATAGGCAACAAAAGCAAAAATAAACAAAGGGGATTCTATCAAACTGAAATGTTTCTGTACAGCAAAGGAAACAAATTAACAGAATAAAAAAGCAAGCTATAGAATGGGAGAAACTATTTGCCAACTATTCATCCAACAGGAGATGAATATTCAGAGTATACAAGGAACTCAAACATCTCACCAGCAAAAACAAAACCCAAACAAAATTTAAAAATAGCTGAATGACTGGGGCGGTACCTGTGGCTCAAAGGAGTAAGGTGCCGGCCCCATATGCTGGAGGTGGCGGGTTCAAACCCAGCCCCAGCCAAAACTTGCAAAAAAAAAAAAAAAAAAGATAGACAAATGACCTAAGAAGAGATTTTTCCAAAGAAGACATACAAATACCAAAGAAATATATGAAAAAATGGTCAACATCTCTAATTGTGAGTGAAGTGCGAAACTAAACCACAGTAGGGTGGTGCCTGTGGCTCAGTGGGTAGGACGCCAACCCCATATACTGAGGGTGGTGGGTTCAAACCCGGCCCTGGCCAAACTGCAAAAACACAAAACCAAACCAAACCACAGTAAGGTGTCTATCCTCTCACTCCAGTTAGAATGGCCAATATCAAAAAGACAAAAAATAGGCTGGGTACAGTGGTTCACGCCTATAATCCTAGCACTCTGGGAGGCCAAGGCTGGTGGATTGCTTGAGCTCAGGAGTTCAAGACCAGCCAGAGCAAGAGCTGGGGAAAAAAAAAAAGAAACACACTGAGGCAAGAGGATCACCTGAGCCCAAGAACTTGAGGTTGCTGTGAGGTACGATGCCATGGCACTCTAATCAAGGCACCAGAGGAAGATTCTGTCTCAAATAAAACAAACAAAAAAAGCCCTCAAAAGACAAACAATAGCAAATGCTAGCAAGGATGCTGCGAAAAGGAAACTCATACACTATTGGTGGGAGTGCAACTGCTACAGCCACAATGGAAGTCTCTCTACAGATAGAACTACCAAATGATCCAGCAATTCCACTACTGGGAATTTATCCAATGGAAAGGAAATCATTGTATCAGAGAGACAGCTCCTCCTCCATGTTTACTGTAGCACTATAGTAATAGCCAAGATCAACCTAGGTGTCCAATAACAGATGAACGGATAAAATGTAGCATATATACACCATACTATGCAGGCATAAAAAAAAGGAAATCCTGTCATTTGTGGCAACATGGATGGAAAGTAATATACTGCATGTTCTCATTTGTGGAAGCTAAAAAAAGGTCATCTCATAGAAGTAAAAAGTAGAACAGAGGATACTAGAGGCTGGGAAGAGATAGGAAGAATAAGTTCTAGTGTTTTATACCACTGTAAGATGACTGTAGTTAACCATTGTTTCAAATAGCTAAAAGGATATAGAATGCCCCCAACACAACAAAATGATAAACATTTGAGGCATTGGATATGCTAATCACTCAGATCAGAACACTGTACCTTTTATATATCAAAACATCACTATGTGCCCCATGAATACATACAATTATTATTTGGCAACTAAAAAAATAAAAATTTAAAACCCCAAACATTTATTTCTCAACATTCTGGAAAGTGAAAGTCTGAGATCAGGATGCCAGCCGGGCCAGGTTCTTGGTGAGGGCTCTCTTACTGGTTTACAAACAGCCATCTTTTTATTATGTCCTCACATGGTGGAAAGAGAGGAACCTAGTTAGGGCACTAGTTCCATTCATGAGGCTGCCATCATGACTCAATTACTTCCCAAACGTCGCTCTTCCAAATACCATTAAGTTGGGATTAGGGTTTCAACGTGGATTTTGGGGGGACACATTCAGTCCATTGCACCAATGTTCTTAGAATAAAATCTAAAATTCTTGGTAATTCTTTCACAAAAACTTCTTTTGTCTCAGGACCATCACATGTGCTAGTCCCTGTGTGAAACACTTTTCTCCCTACTCTGAACCTCCTTCTTTGGGTCTTAGTTGAAGTATTACTTTTTCAGGGGCCTTACTTGGCTCTGATCTAAATTAGGTTGCTCTATTATTTTCAATAGCATCTACTCTTTTCTTTATAGCTCTTATTACAGCTTGTAATTACACATTTGGTGACTTACTGCCATGTCTGTCTTCCCCACAATACTAAATTCCTTGAGTAAGGACTGTCTCCATTTTGTTTCCTGCTGTTAGACTCGGAGCCTAGCATCGAAACCAACATACAGTAAGTATCCAAATATTTGATTAGTGAACCGGAGGAAACTGGCGTGACTGAAGATAGTTGAAATGTGAGATAAGAAGCTGGACTTGTGTACTGGTGATGGGAAAGAGACTTATTTATTTATTTTGAGACAGAGTCTCTCCCTGTCACCCTCAGTAGAGTGCCGTGGCATCACAGTGCACAGCAACCTCAAACTCTTGGGCTTAAGGATTCTCTTGCCTCGGCCTCCCATGCAGTTGGGAGTACAAGTGCCCACCATGACGCCCAGCTATTTTTTGGTTGTAGTTGTCATTGTTGTTTGACAGGCCTGGGCTGGATTTGAACCCACCAGCTCCCGTGTATGTGGCTGACACCCTAGCCGCTGAGCTACAGGCACTGAGCCGATTTATTTATTTATTTATTTATTTTTTATTTTTTTTTTGAGACAGAGCCTCAAGCTGTCAACCTGGGTAGAGTGCCGTGGCATTACAGCTCACAGCAACCTCCAACTCCTGGGCTCAAGCGAGTCTCCTGCCTCC